TGTTCTGTTCTTCCATGCCTTTGCACCAGAGGGACTTAAGCACCTGAAGACCTAGATAGGGTCATCTTTGCCTCTTCTGTTGAGTTGAATGTTTTGAGTTCTTCTTTCCCCTGTCCTGAAGAGAGACAAAGATTAGATGGATTCTGGCCCCAGTATTACCAAGAAGGTATTTGAAGGATGTCTTGACTGTAGACCTCCCCGCAGATGTATTTAACAGGTTCCAAAATAACAGACTCCCCTTCAATGGCCTTTTAAAACGAGTTTATTTTTCCATGCTGATAAATATCATCATTCATAATGATGCAAACGGGTATGAAAATGTGTGAAGAAAGCTGATGAATTCATTCGATGGACACAGAATTATGGCCTGAATTGTTAGAGAGCTGATGTTTTTATGTTCTGTTTGTTTTGTTTTTAAAAAAACCAATAAAATTGTTTAAAAAAAAAGAATTATGGCCTGAATTGTCCTTGGAAGAGAATTTTGTCAGGAACAGTAGGTTGATATGAGAATTAGTCTGTGGTGAGAAAATTAAATCCAGTTTACTAAGCCATTATTTCACTTATCACCACCATCTCTCCCCATCATGTAGAATGAGGTCATTTGAGCCTCAAAAGAGACTTCCCTAATTTGTTATATTCATTTCTCTTGGCCCCAAGAAGGTGGGGGAAAGAACAATTATTGGAAAGATCAACAGGCAGGGGAAAATGATCTTCTAGACTGCATTTGGGCATTGACTTTGCCTGGGATCTCTGCTGTGCTGCTGGAAGGCACAGAAGCTGAAATCAGACCGTGGGGTTCAGAGAGAGAGGGCCCTTTGGGGAACGAACAAATTACTAATTTCACATTCACCCACCTTTTCAAACTTGGAAAGTGTCAGTGACCATTGAGTGTTTATTTAATGGCTATTTCTTTCTGGCAGATTAGAAGAGGGATTTTTCCAAATTAAAATGACTTGTGTGCCATCTGTTCTTTCCAGAGAGAACTGGATGCCTCTCCCTTGTAAATAATGTGTTCTCTTTGCAACTGCTCAGGCAAGAATGAAGAAGTTCAGATGAGAATAATACAACAGCCTTTGTTTGCAGGGCTCGCTTGGCTTTGAAAGCCGAAAGAAGGAAAAGAGTTTCCACCCAACAAACAATAAAAATCCATTCAATTTGAAGCAAGAAATCAGCAGTTAGCAGGAAAAGAAAGCAAGTGGCGCATGTAAAATGTCACAGATCTTTATCAACCTCTGGAGGTAATTTTTTCATGCCAAAGGAAATAGATTCTTGTTTTCATTATCTTTTAAAAGTGATCAAAACCGTCTTTTCCTTCCTTCCCTCTTCACTCACTCATCCCCATTTCCTTCCTTCCTTCCTTTTCTCTTCACTCATCCCCATTTCTTTCTTTCCTCCCTCCTTTCCTTTCTCCCTTTGTTTTCCTTCCTTCCTTCCAAGTATTTGGCCTGGATTTGTGTCCGTCCTGAGAACGGCGGAGTCCGCATGCCACCAAAAGTTATCAAACAAACAGGTTGAATTGTGGATGTTGATGACTGATCACATCCACCTTGTACAAGAAGTCCACTTGGCTTATTAAACATAAATCACTGATCTAAGCTGGAAGATTGAACACATTCATTAGGGTCTATGCAAACTCAAATGTAACGTCAAGGTGAGAGCAATGGCCGAACCAAAATGTCAGCAGGGATAAATCCTGCCTTTTTAAGAAGCATTGCCTGATATTCACCTTGTAGATGTCAAGAGCTTAGAAGGATTTCAGCATTGTAACCAAACTATATCTGCAGACCTCTTGGCCAATATATTAGAAGAAATCTATTTAATTTCACCATGACAATGTACTGACACTTGTCAGCTACTGAGGAAAGTCTACATACAGGTAGTCTTTACCTTACGACCACAATTTGAACCCAAAATTTATGTTAAGTGAGAAATGTTGTTAAATAAATATTGCCACATTTGTTAAGTGAATCCCTGCAGTTGTCAAGTTAGTAACATGGTTGTTAAGTGAATCGGGCTCCCCCATTGGCTTTGCTTGTCAGGTCTCAAAAGTGGACCGTGGGACGACCCCGGGATACTGCAGCTGTCATAAATGTGAGTCAGTTGTCAAGCATCTGAATGTAAATCACGTGACCATGGGATGCTGCAAAGGTCATAAGTGTGCAAAATGCTGTCACTTTTTTCAGTGCCACTGTAACTTTGGTCACTAAATGAACTGTCGTAAGTTGAGGATTACCTACACTGTATTGCTATTATGCAGAGTTCAATAAACAATGATTAAAAATAAAATAAACAATGGTCTTTTCCTGGTCTACACAATGCTTTGGAGTTCTAGAATTGCTAGCTTTTGTTGTGCCAAGGGAGTTGAAGAGAAACAGCTTGACAAAAAAAAATAACGTATCTAAACTATCATTGTTCATGGGTTGCCACCAAGGAATTTTTATTTATGCTCATTTGTGTTCCATTTTGGTGGCCATAAAAGCTAAAATCTATGAAAAGCTAAAAGTTTCCTTCGAGTCAATTTTTACCCTGAGTGATATCCTGTCCACCAAGGAATCTTGGCAGCAGTGTGGCTACTGCCTTCTTCCAGGATATTATTTTCACTTCCCACTCCTTAAACTGAGCCAGACACAAATGCTAGGAACAACGATGATGATGGAGATATGCAACATTCTTCTCTTTCCAGCCATGATCTAGCATCTCTCTCCCTCTCTCTCTTTATATATATAAAAATAAAAAATTCGGCTGTTCCAAAACTCCTTGAAGATCCCCTGAGATTCTTCATTGTAAGCAGATGTTCTATTTGCTCAATCACCTTCTACACCAAAGTCATCCGTCTTGAAAAAAAACCACACACGCTATCAACAAATATTCTCCCAGGCTTACTTGTTTTTGGAAAGTCGTTTTTAGCATGTAAAACACATCACCAAGAGAAGACGCTTTGAATTCCCCAGGAGAATGCTTCATATTTTTCCTGCACAGTGCCCTCAGCCGTGTATTGATTCGTCTGCTTTAAGTTCTTGTTTTGGTTCACTCCTCTCAAAAACTTTATAATCATTATGGCTTGTGGAATAGCTTATGCGTATGTGTGTGTGTTTTATATACATACATACATACATTCCTACCCATTTTATTGAATAACGAAGTTGGAAAGAACCTTGGAAGTTTTCTAGCCCAACCCCTGCTCAGGCAGGAGACCCTATACCATTTTGGATAAATGTGTCCACTCTCTTCTTAAAACCCACTACTTCTTGAAGTAAGTTGTTCCACTCATTAAATAACTGAATAATCCCATTGATTAATGTCTGATTGACTTTTGTAATCTCAGAATTGCAGAACTGGAAACCCTCTGAGACCATCAACTCCGCCGTCACTACTACACCTCACCATGGGCCCGTGGAGGAATCTAGATTAAAGAAGGGCTCCCTAATCTCTATTTCAATAAATCCAATGAAGATAAACCCTCCTGTAATTTGGATTTGAAACTTCAATTCATTTCGACTGGAATTATGATTAAAATAATCAATGTTATCTTCCTAGGCTGTACCATGACTGGTTATATCCTACCTGGGTCTAGGTACCATTTCTGTAATTAACGTTAAGAAAATATGATTTTGCTGGATCAAAACAACCTTACTTGATCCAGGCTCTCATTTCCCAGGTAGACACATAGATGTTCTGGGGGTGTTTATGGTCAAGATCCTCCCCCACCCACACCCCCAAAAACACCTCCCCAAAACTATTTGTCACAATGCCCTTTGGTCATTATAACTGCTAATCTATTGTGGATTTATTTGATTCAGCTTCTTTCAAGTCTTGTTCTCCACCAAATTGATAGAATAAACAGATTAGGGAATAAATTCTCCAGATGGATTCCAGGGAACCCTCCAAGAAAATCCCCTTGTTTGGCTTTGTTTGGGGTTAATTGGAAACATGGGAATCCAAGGGAGGTGACAGACTCTCAGACCTGTATTAGAGAGACGACATCTTTACACCCAAGAACATCACCCAGGAGATATTCCAAAGTTCAACAAGGAACGGTCAAGATTGAACATCTTGGCTTCTTTCAAACCTTATCACTATTTAACTTGCCAATGAACTGGGGGTGGGGAAGGGTTGAATGGAGTGCTGAGAATTTTTACACAGATCATGAGAGCCTGAAAACCATCAAGGTCACCACTGCAGGTGTTGGGACAGAGAGGGGGACTGTTCCCGCAACAAAAAGACGTCTCGAAATTGGAAGTGATCACCAAGGGGTGGGGAGAAAGGAATTGTTTTCATTAGGCAAACGCTTGTGCAGGAAAACCACAACTGGTTTTGATCCTTCAGTACCAAAATGGTTTATCTAGTAACGTTTTACTTGGGGGAATTCAAAGCTTGTGAGAGCGTTTACTTGTTTTGGGTTCACTAGTCAGACAGTTGACGGGATTTTTGCATTGTTTCATCAACATGACCGGGAAAGGACATCCCAAACAATTTCAAGGAACTTTCTTGCTTCGTGGGGGCTTATTTGGACTACTGAATGTGCCTACTTATTTTAGATGGGAGTGTTGATTATTTATACTGGTAGTCGACATTGAATTGTACATTCAAGGGCTGAGGTAGCTGTACATTAATATTCTCCCTTGGAATCTCTTGTATGAACTCTTTATATTGTTTTTTTCATTTTTGCTAATTTTACTTTTTCTAAATTAAAGAAGCTGAACATCTTGCACAACCCAGCAAATGGCTTAATTCAATAACCAGAACAGGCACATTATGCAGATGCTGCACAAGGAGGGATAGTTAAATAACTGCAATGTCTAAATGTATCTGTTTCACCCTTTTATATCCCCGTGAATGGAAAAGAACAAAAAAAAAATTGCCTTAGAAATTAACAGACCTGTTTCATCCCCAACATGTTCCTTGCAGCTTTTAGAGGTGAACATTTTTGTTTTTAATGATCTTCCACCCCCGGTCACTTTCATAAAGAATTTTGTCATGCAAGTTACTTAAGAGAGACGTTAGATTGTAGTCATCCTTTATTGAAACTTTATGTAAAATTTTATTTACATATATACAGGTTTAAAAAGCCCTTATGTCTTATCGTTTTGCTTCTGGTCTGCTTTTTTTTCCTGTTGTTCTTTTTATCTTCCTGTTTCAGATAAACGAAGGGAAACTTTTAAAAAACGAACAACTTAGGATAATCTTTTTTTTTTTTTTAATGAAGTCTATAGTTGACTTCACTGGCTTGATCACATAAATTTTCATACTGGCTTGATTCAGACATTATGCTAAGACCTAAACTACCCTTCTCTCCTGTTTCTCATTGTACAAATTGATTTGAAGTTTTCAGAACACTTTTGGTAGAGCGGGAAAGTTGCTAACTTGACCAGTGGAAAACTGGAAGGAGTCAACCACAACTGACTTGCACAGATCCAGGGATGTTGGAGATAGGATGGGGAAAAGTCAAAATGGCAGCTGCAACCATGATGGGATAGCCTATTTACCCAATGAATCCATTCTGCAGGAATGATAAACTAAGCAGTTGGGATTTGCATAACCCATTACACCTCTCAAAACCAACACAAAACCCAAATCAAGGTACTTAATTGTTTAACTGTGATTAAGCGAGTGGCACAAAGACATTTCCCTCAATTACGGAATATAGCCTATTTTCCAGGGTTTGCGTTAAATGTTATAGCTCCAAAATCCAACCAAGGTTGTGCAAATCAATCTGCCAGTAGTTCCCCAGCGACTTGATGAAGTGTGCTTGGTGAACATAGAGGCTTAGGCAGGGGTGTCTACGGGGAGGGTCAAGATAGCACCAGCTCCAATGCCATCAAAAGTCCTGCCCACAATCCAGGTTTCAAGATGCTGTTATTGCTATTTTACGAAGATAAGCTGCACACAAAGGGCAAATCAGGCTTCCCATCTTCCTGGAGATGTTTTTTTCGGGGCTTTTTTTAAACCTAGATGTTGAGAAACACAGACCAGAAAAGAACCAACGCAGAGGAGGAAGAGAAAGCAACAGCACCAGACAGTTCACAGCCTCTTCTGTTTTCTATCTCGGCAAAGGAACAAGAATTTCCTTCCTACAGATGATTTTCATGGACAAAGTGCTCGGCAATTTTTATTTTATGCAGGGTCTGCTCACAAACATCAAACAGCAGCAGCTGTTGGCGGTACAATCTGTTGCTGTAGAAGACCTCAGGGTGAGGCTTCATAGTTGCCCAACTTAATGTTGCTGAGTCTGGGAGCATCCCCGCCCCAAAGTCAGTTTTGTGCTTCTGAGTATGAGTTCCTCTGCAAACCACACCAGGAGTTAAGTAGCCAGTGGCTGCATTCGCACAACACTGAAGCAGCTCAGGCAAAGACCGAGCACAAGATGCTGAGAGCGTTTAGTGTTCATCATAGTTAGATTTTCGAAGCTTCAGCCATTTGGATAAACCGAGCCTTTTGGCTGAGTTAATATGCAAACCTCGAAAAAGGCTGATTCCTTTAACCAGGTTAAAGTACGTTGCATGAATCCAGCTAGTCATTATTGCTCACAAATGGCGTGAATGTTTCCAATCTAGTCATTTCATCATACAAATACACACTTTAAATGAGAGCAAATCCCCATCCACACCCCTTTCCATCACGGGTATTAAACACAGTGTGATTTCCCAAGAAGGCCTACAAATTCTTCTCAGGGTTAAGAACAAACCTAATCGTAGCAGCACATCAGAATGATGATGAAGTGTCTTCTTTAAAGGCTAACGCTCCTTGTCCTGCCACCCTTCGCCTCTGAAGACATTTTTGAGATCTTGTTGTGAGGACCTTAGCAGACTGAGGAAGGGGCAGTTCTCCTCAGTTGGGTCTTTTTGTAGAAACTATCTATCCAATACTCTATAAAGAGTCAGAAAAATTAAGGCCACTGAAACATTCCTGTCACAACTCCCACCGTTTTGTTCTACTCTTCAGGATGATGGGATTCACAAAAAGCTGAACATTTCTCCTTGTTAAGGCACCTGGTGAAGATCATCAGCCCTCTATTCCCCCCCCCCCCCCCCCCCCAGTAGCCTAAGGTGCACCAAGTGTCATTGCTTGAAGTCAAAAATCCGGTTCCAGTAGTAGAGGAAAGCTGGTGAGTTGCTAGTCCCTATGATAACCAGCAGGAGCAAGTAGAGACTCATCATCACCGCAAAACGATGTGCGGAGAGCCACGATTGACCAGGAAGTCTAAGATAGATAGAAGAGAAGAGAATAACAGAGCTAGAAGGGACCTTGGAGGTCTTCTAGTCCGACCCCCTGCTCAAGCAGGAGACCCTAAACCATTTCAGACAAGTGACTGTCCAGTTTCTTCTTAAAAAGTTCCAGTGTTGGAGCATTCACAACTTCTGAAGGCAAGCTGTTCCACTGAGTAACTGTTCTAACTGTCAGGGAATTTCTAGGCTGTTCCTCTCCTTGATTAGTTTCCACCCGTTGCTTCTTGTCCTGCGCTCAGGTGCTGTGGAGAATAGCTTGACTCCCTCTTCTTCGTGGCAGCCCCTGAGATATTAGAACCCTGCTATCATGTCACCCCTAGTGTCATGCCCCCTTCTGAGTCTGAATCGAAGGAGGAAGACAAACAGCCATCAGGGAGCAGGAAAATGGCTCCTTGGCTGTGGAGGAAACTGGGGAAGGGCAAAGTCAGGCAAGGCAGAGCAGGGAAGAGGTAGAACAAGGGAGAGGGAGTTCAGAGGAAGACCCAGGCCCACCCCCTCTTCATCCTAGGGCATGCAGGGAAGAATGGAGAAGAGAGCAACGTGAGCTGCGTGGCTTACAAAGGAGGAAAGGGCCCCGATTCCCTTCACCGGGCACACCTGGGGAGGGAGTTTAAAGGAATGGCAGGTGGGTGGGGCAGTTGCTGGGAACGAATGTCGAGCTGATCTTGTGTTTGGCTGCTGTTATCTGAGTTCCTGGCATCTTCCCAACTGGTTTGATTTACTGCCTTGTTACTTCATTTCTGGAACTCTACGGGATTTAATTATTTTGCCTTGTTGGATTTATACAGTTTTCAGTTTACAACATTTGGACTGGAATATCAGCAGCCAAAGGCTGGTGCAGGTTCGTGGGAGAGTTTTTCTCCAGACCGGAAAGTAACTGGGTAATTGGGGACAAAGTTGGAGCTAATAAAGTAACTCATTCTTATTCTCTGTGTTGCCTTTGTGCCACGCCTGGGTCATCACACCTAGTCTCTTTTCATCAAACTAGACATACCAAATTCCAGCAACCGTTCTTTGTACGTTTTAGCGTACAGCCCCCAATCACCTTCGTTGCTCTTCTCTGCACTTTTTCTAGAGTCTAAACATCTTTTTTACATTGTAGCGACCAAAATTTGGTGCAGTATTCCAGATGTGGCCTTACCAAGGAATTATAAAGTGGTGTTAACACTTCACGTGATCTTGATTCTATCCCTCAGTTTATGCATTATGTTGGGTTGTGTTGCTTTTTTGGCAGCTGCAGCACACTGCTGGCTCATGTTAAATGTTTGTCTGCTAGGACAATCCCTCTCAGTTACTAATACTGAGCGAGGTGCCATATATACCGTACCTGGGCATTTGGTTTTTCTTGCCTAAATGTAGAACCTTCCTATTTTCACAGTTGAATTTCATTTTGTTAGATAGCGCCCAATGTTCAAGTCAGGGAGAAAGAACGCAGACTATCCCTGCCTCCATCCACCAAAAGCGTGAATTATGTTTCAGGCCTCACGTTCTACTCCCAATTCTGTGCAAACAATACAGGGGCAGATTCCTCTTCCCCCTCCCAAAAAGATGCAGTTGGCTGATTTTAAAGACAAACTAAAAACTCAATTTAGGGAACAATTTAGTGTCTCTCCCTTTCAGATCAGTCTACTGGAGATGGTTGTTTAAAAATTTGAAAGTTGAAATCAGAGGTTTTTCTTTGAACAAACCATTGGAAAAGAGTCATAGAATTTTGCTTTTTTATATGATAGCTGTACTAAGATTAATATATGTGCAAAGGTGGAAAGATTCAGCATAATGCAGGTTTGAGGAACGGCTGGCCAAGTTCACAGAACTTGCTAAATTGGCTTCTTCAATCAGAAGAAAGTGGACAGTTACATTTACTGCTAGCTGGAAACCTCTTATTGGCTTTTTTCGCTTGGAACAGAAAAATGTTGTAGGATTTATGGTTCGGAGATAGAGAGAATAGACTGTAAAAAGGTATGTGGTTACCTTAAGAGTAAGAAGCAAACTTATAATTGTACTTATAACTGCTGAAAAAGAATACTGGACAAGAGGGGCAAAGTGTGAACAGGGAGTCCTTGATTTACGACTGCAATTGAGCCCCAAATTTCTGTTGCTAAGCAAGGAAGTCGTTAAGTGAGATTTGCCCCATTTTACGATCTTTCTTGCCACAGTGAATCATTGCAGCTGTTAAGTGAGTAATAACAATAGCTCTTGTAGCTTCAAAGTGCTTTGCAGCCCTCTCTAAACTGTTTACAGTGTCAGCATCTTACCCTCAACAATCTGGGTCCTCATCTTTACCGACCTTGGAAGGATGGAAGGCTGAGTCAACCTTGAGCCGGTCAGGCTCAAACTCCTGGCAGTGGGCAGAGTGAGCTTGCAATACTGCATTCTAACTACAGAGAAGGGAGGGAGGGAAGGAAGCAATAGCACTTAGACTTACTGAATATACCGCATCACAGTGCTTTACAGCCTTCTCTAAGTGATTTACAAATCAGCAAATTGCACCTAACCATCTGGGTCCTCATTTTATAGCCCTAGGAAGGATGGAAGGCTAAGTCAACCTTGAACCGATCAGGATTGAACTCCTGAGAGGGGGAATGCAGAGTTGAGTCAGCTTGCAATACTGCATTCTAACCACTGCACTACTACAGCTAAGTAACATGGTTGCTAAGTGAATCAGGCTTCCCTGTGGACTTTGCTTGTCAGGAGGTCGCAAAAGGGGATCACATGAACCCGAGAGGCTGCCACCGTCACAAATATGAATCAATTGCCAAGGCTCTGAATTTTGATCACGTGACCACGGGGATGCTGCAACAGCTGTAACTCTGAAAAACGGCCACGAGCCACTTTTTTCAGTGCCACTAAACAAACTGTTATAAGTCGACAACTAGTAGTATCCTGATGGTACAATGTATGTTTCATCATTGCTTTATGCAAAAGGTTACAGCTGCCCTGGGTCATACTTTCATCTTTGCGGGCCTAAGAACTAGTAATTTGACTTAAAATAAGGAGAGGAAACCCGATTCCGTAAAAGCTCAGTTCTGCAGCCAGTTTTCTTCAGCTGCGTGACAACTCTACCGCCATGATGGTTTCATCCACCTTTATGCCTTGGTTGGAGCCATGGTGGCGCACTGGTTAAATGCAGAACTGCAGGTTAATTCTGTCAACTGACAGTTCGATCCTGACCAGCTCAAGACTGACTCAGCCTTCCATCCTTCTGAGGTCAGTAAAACTGAGGACGCAGATTGTTGATGACTCTGTAAACCATTTAGAGAGGGCTGTAAAGCACTGCAAAGCGGTATATAAGCCTAAGTGCTGTTGCTATCTATGTCTCTTTCATGCTTTCCTGAATTTTTGAGCCATGATGATCGGAGAAGCTTCAGTCATGCCCTGAAGGTTCTTCACTCCTAGGATAGTGAAGTCCACAAGGGGGAAGGAAGGGACACTCACCTTCGGTGTTGCCTCTGCGAATATACTAGCAAATATTTCACCCGTATCAGCTGATTGTTTGTAACGACAAAATATTTCTGAGGGACATCACCCCCTTCGCTGTTCTTCACCCTGGCTCTCTTCCTGTCAATTTCTCTAGAGTCTGCAAAAAAAAAAGAAAGAAAGAAAGAAAGAAAGGAGTAAGACTCTGTTTGAAACTGAGAAAAGAAACGGAGATTCTTGTGAGCAAAGAATAGTTCGACTGAGGGCTGCCTTGTAAGTTAGGTAGAAGGTCCAAAACTTTTGAAGAACCTTGAAGAGCTTAAGATGAGGCCGTGGCTGAGCAGATCATTGCAAAAGGAAGGGGAGGATTTTTTCCTGCCACGTGTACCTTCAGCGCACAAACTCCTAAATTCAGATCAGCAAGTGGCTATGGCTATATTCAGTTTGGTCAACGTGTTGAAACAACAAATTCTCAGGGAGGGACGGAGGATATGTCTATGCATTCAGCAGCAATCCAGCTCGACCTTCCTTGTCAATGAGTTGTGCAAATCCAGGCTTAAAATATTTGGGGTCGAAGATCTTGGAGAACTGAGTTCTGGTTAGGCAGTTGTAAGGTTACATGCAGCAAGAGTCACTTGCCCTCAATGGGTAACAAGGCGGCCAGGTGTCTCAGACAAGATAGTTGAGAAGGCAAGCCGTGCATTTTGAATGGGAAGACTTGAAAAGTCAGCAGTGAGCGCTAAAACTCAGTTGCGCCAATTCCATTAAGCATGAAGTTGTCACGTACAGGAAATCAGGAAATCCAAGCAGTTCAAATGAATATAGAGGTTTATGGCAAGCTTAAGCTTGCCGTAATCTGAATTACTAACGGTTCAAGCAAATTGGCGGTAGATAAAAAATATTCAAGGCAGGCTGGACTCAGATCTCTTGTGGGTGCGAAGGGACTCGAGACTGGTGACACATTTGACTCCTCCCCCCCCTGAGCCTGGTCATCTCCTACAGATGTCACATTCCTGCCAGCTTCCCCACCGACTTTGCTTGTAGGAAGCTAGAAGTGAAAATCACAATCAAGTGACCACTGGGATGTTGCAACCTAAGCAGATGGACCGGCCATCAGTCCCTTTGTTCACCACCACCACTGTATCTTTGAACGGTGGCTGGAGAACTAGTTAATGAAAAACTTCTTCCTGACAACGAGAGGTACAATTGAGGGCCCCAAGTTGGGGGAAAAAAACTCTTCTTTCTGAGACTCACCTTTTTTCTTCACTTGGCACTTGACATCTGGATGATCAATGACCTCACAAACTGCAACACAGCTGAGAATTGGGCCCATTGCGCTTCGCTGCCAGCCCAGACTGTGCGGGCTGTAGAGGAGGGCCAGGCTTAAGTCGCTGGTCAGATAGGTGCCTTCCCCAAATAAGGAGGTCTGAAAAACACCAGAAAGAGCGCTATCTCCTTGCCCAAAGAAAAATTCCAGGGCTCTTTCCATATATTATCCCTGGATTTTTAAATAGAGATATATATTCCACCGACCATATGTCCTTTATTATATAGGACAATCCTTATTTCAGAGAGCTTTTTACATTTTTTTATTTTCTTGGTTTTGCTCTTGAAATTTTCCTTTGTAGGGCAAAGGGATAAACATAATTATTTTTTAAAAAAAATCTCTTTCAATTTGCCCTTTTTTCAGAAAGTGTGGGAATCCAGGAGTTGTAGACTGCTGGAGAGAGGACAATATAAGAAAAATAGGACCTTCACACAAAAGGCCTGTTGCCCACCTATCTTAAAGTTTCACCCCTTTTTCGGGGAGTGGGGGAATTCAAGAAATTCCAGATTGCTGGCCTGTTGGTCATTTTATTTAAAGTAAGGACAAGAACTTAACATCCCACTCATCTGGATTTCCCAGAAGTCTCTACAACAGAGACTTAAGAGCAGCTCTTGGGCCTAAGGCTGTATGGGGTTCGGTCAACTTTGCAAGGTAGTCCAAGAAGTAATTACGCCTGTCAAGACTGACTCGAACCTTCACCTATTATTCCTTTTTCCTTGCAGGATGACAAAGAATTGGTGTGTGTGGGAGTGGTGGTGGACTGGAATGCGAGATGGTAGGAAGCATGGCTGGTTTCCACGAGACCTAACTCCCCCTTCTCAAGGACACCCAGAGGAGATGCCACACCATGGCTGGCTGGCTCCCAAAACAAAATGGACAGAAGTGATTGATGGACATAATGGACCGCGGGTGGCCCGTGGGGAAAAGAGAAATGAACTAAGCGTGCGTTTGCACGGGAAGCTCAGAGCTCGTTTCACTTCTTCTGTGTCAGCGTGGATTTATTCAGTAAAGTTTATACTCTTGGTAAAATAATGTCCCGGGAGTTTCTTTTTCTGGATTCACCAACTGGAGAGTTGACAACGCCAAGATGAACTAAGTTTACTTTATTGTAAGATGACATTCACAGAATCTTGCAAGCCTTGTCCCCCACATCCCCTTTACAGTCCAAGAAACTAGAGAGGGTTTCTCCTCAGATGTTTCCCAACCCTTCTCTCCTCAATTCATTCTGTGAGCTAAGCTGCCTTTTATCTGACCGTTCTTCTAGGGATCGTCCCCGTTTCCCAAGGTCATGCCCACAAACCATTATAACTTCCCAAAGAGCCACCTGGTTTGCTAACCTAGCAGAGAGGATGCTGCCCCAGAACCAGGGATGGTGCAGTGGTTAGAATGCAGCATTGCAGGCTAACTCTACCCACTGCCAGCAGTTGAATCCTGACTGGCTCAAAGTTGACTCAGCCTTCCATCCTTCCGAGGTCAGTAAAATGAGGTCCCAGATTGTTGGAGGCAAGAGGCTGACTCCGCAAACCGCTCAGAGAGAGGGCTGTAAAAGCACTATGAAGCAGTATGTAAGTCTAAGTAGCTTTTGGACTGAGCGAGATCCACCTTCCTCTCCGCCTTGGATGCAAACCAAGCTCATTCCTTACCCTGTTCAAATGGCACTGCAACCCGTTGTGCATGATGGAATGGAAGTTCTCCAAGCGGCTCCCGTGGAAGGCGTAGATGAGGTCTCTCCCCGCCTGAGTATCCTCAAATTTGGCGTTCATTTCTTTGCAGTAGGTGATTTCAAAGAGGAAGTCTGGCACTGGGACAGGCATGCTGGGAGCTCCCGTCAGTTCCCGGATCGTCTCATACTTGAAGAACATCAAAACATAGGAAAGTTATTTATACGGAAGTTTCCTCTCTTTCTCTCTTTTGCTTTTAAGCCCTTCAGGATCTTCAGGTTACACACGAAGGAAGGAGCCACAGAACTGTACCCCCTCCCCAAAACTGGGAGTGGGTCGGTTTGTCAATGGTTATTGGGGCCCTCAAGAGCATGTCAAGGACTGATGGTCACGATAGAACAGTGACATCCTTTTTGGTTCCCTTGACACCTTGCTTGCAAGTCACCAGGGACTTTCAATTTCCAGCTGGCTTCCCCATTGACCTTGCTTGTGGGAAGCCAGGAGGAAGTTGCAAGGAACTCCTCACTTAACCACCCGCAATCCTCCTTGAACAGCAGCAACCAAGACTGCAAGGTTTACTGCTACTAAACAAGGCAGTATTGTGGCATTGCACTTTTCAACTGCATCACTTGGTGATGGAAAATGAGGTCCTTTGAATTTGCAAGTAGCCCTCATTAATAACAATAATTTTGTCATTAATGAGGACTACTTGCAAATTCGAAGTGATTTGGTCACAACTCAAGCCGAGTGGGGGAAAAGCTACCCTAAGGAATTATTTAAATGACCAAAAAGAACCATTTTGGAGTTGGCTCCACCCAGTGTTTTTTTTTTCCAACTGGGTTTTTTCCACTGCTCCAAATACAGGTAGACTTCGACTTATAATAGTTCGTTTAGTGACACTGAAAAGAGTGACTTATGATTTTTCACACTTATGACCGTTGCAGCATCCCCATGGTCACGTGGTTTACATTTGGATGCTTAACAACCGACTCAGATTTATGACAATTGCAGTGTTCAGGAGTCACGTGATCCCCTTTCGCAACCTTCTGACAAGCAAAGACAACGGGGGAATCAGACTCACTTAACAACTGTGTGACTAACTTAACTGCAGGAATTCACTTAACAACTGTGACAAGAAAAGTGATAAAAAGAAGCAAAACTCCCTTAAGAAATTACTCACTTAACATAAATTTTGTGCTCAATTATGGTTGTAAGTTGAGGATTACCTTTACCTATAGTACAGGTATAGCCTTCCCTGTCCAGTGTGGTGGCCTAGAGGTGGAGCGCTTGCCTCACAATCAGAAGGCTGTGAGTTCGATCCTAGGTAGAGGCTAATATTTGGAATTAACTCTCCTGCTCAAACAGGGGGTTAGACTAGATGACCTCCAATGTCCCTTCCAACTCTGTTATTCTATGTCCAATTCTAGGGCATGGTGCTTATCTCTGCTTCTTAGTCAAGGAAGCCAGCATTGATATTTCTGTGATCATGTGGCCAAGCATGACTATAAGCCGAGGCACATGGAACGCTCTTACCTTCCCGCCTAAATGGTACCTATTTATCTACTTGCATTTGCATACTTTTGAACTACTAGGAGCTGAGGCAAGAATGGGAGCTCAATCCATCATGCAGGACTCAGGCCTTTGAACTGCCAACCTTCCAGTCGACAAGCCCAGAATCTTTAACACTAGCCCACCCTTATTTAGTAGCTGGACACTAATGCAAAGCTAAGCATTTTGTTTCAACACCGCCTAACTGTTTAAGATGATCCTAGCTTAGTTTTTTTGCAGAAAAACCAAAGGTTTCTCCATTCTAAGTGCTCGGGTCTCAAACCAGGCTGTCAGCTCTTCAACTGACAAACTCAGCATCTTTAACTGCTGAGCCATCATCCCCCTTCAAGGGAAAAGACTGACAGTCTGGCTTTCTGGACCATCATAAAGGAACATTTTTGGCTTCCTTTCTACTCCATTTTTCTTCATTGCCCCAAATCTTGACAGGACATCCAATCTCTCCTCTTATTAAAATCAATGCTATGCAAACCCTTTTGCTATTGTCTCTGCAACTGGCGCTGATCGCTACAGCCCACTCCCTGGGCTTAATTTTTAACTAAATCCCAAAGGCAACATACTTTTTTTATGGGGGGGGGGGTGTTTCTTTGCAAAATAAAATAGTGAAAAACAACAACAACCAACTCAACTCTTCCCAGATGCATTTCAGCTCTCAAAACAGTCTTTGATTTGACTTCTCTGAGTTGGGTCTTTCTTCCATCCAGGAAAATTCTCACCTTGTTTTTGTTGGTGGAGTGGATGCACCAGGCCTTAGAGGACAGGATCCAGTGAAACAGCTCCAAGGTTCTTTGGTCAGGATTTTGGGGAGAATCCAAGAGTTCTTGCAAGCTCCCTAATGCACTTGTATCTGCAAGCTGAGAAAGGAACACAGGAAAAGGATGGATAGAGCTTTTCTACATAATCTCACATCCCAAGAGACCTCTGGTGGTACAAAGAAAACATGCAAAAAAAATAATTTCTTACAATTCAAGGGTATGCAGCTTTGAAACATAAAGTGAGCCAAGTTTGGCTCCCGGACTCATGAGCAAATTAAGATAGTTCTTTTTTTGTGTGTGAATTGGGAATTTGAATTAAAAACTTTGGACGCTGGCAATGTTAGTCCCCTTCTATAAGTTTGCCAAGAGAATTGTCTGGATTTCCTCATAAAGCTCATGATGCTCTATGATTCAATTTAGGAGTAAGAATTTTTTTTTTGCTGTATAATTTTAATGTTATTTGGATTGTTTGATCTGTATGTTTTATATGTTTTAGAACAGTAAATTTAAATATATACATACATACATACACACACACACACATATATTCAAGATAATGAAAAGGGAAAATTGCAGGGGGGGAATCAAAAAAGAAAAACGGTGAAAAATGACAAAAAAGGAGAGGGGAGGAGAATGGAGAGGAGAGGGAGAAGAAAGAAATGACGGGGGGGAGGGGAGGATTGACTTCTAACTTTTTTTAGTACAACAGATAAGAGATAATCAGAGTTGAAGGGACCTTGTAGGTCATCTAGTCCAACCCCCCGCCCAAACAGGAGACCCTACACCATTTCTGACAAATGGCAGTCCAATCTCTTTTTGAAGGTCTCAAGTGATGGCGCTCCCACAACTTCCGAAGGCAACTTCTGTTCCATTTATTGATTGCTCTCACTGTCAGAAAGTTTCTCCTTATTTCCAGGTTGAATCTCTCCTTGTTCAGTTTCCATCCATTATTCCTTGTCTGGCCTACAGGCGCTTTAGAAGATAGCTTGACCCCCTTCCTCCTCTCTGGGGCAGCCCCTCCCTCAAATATTGGAAGACTGCTCTCATGTCTCCCCTGGTCCTTCTCTTTACTAGACTAGTCAAGCCCAGTTCCTGCAACCGTACATTGTATGTTTTAGCCTCCAGTCCCCTAATCATCCTGGTTGCTCTTCTCTGTACTTTTTCTCGAGTCTCAACATCTTTTTTATAATGTGGTGAACAAAACTGGATGTAGGACTCTAGGTGTGGCCTTACTAAGGCTTAATAGACTGGTATTAGTACTTCCCTTGATCTGGATTGTATCCCTCTGTTAATACAGTTTAGGATTGCATTAGCTTTTTTGGCTGCTTCTGCACACTGCTGGCTCATATTTAGCTGGTTGTCCACTAAGACTCCAAGATCCCTCTCACAGTTTGAGCCTGGTTTCACCCAGTCTATATGTGTCCTTTTGGTTTTTCTTGCCTAAGTGTAGGACTTTACTTTTCTCTACATTGAATTTCATTTTGTTAGATAGGGCCCAGTGTTCTAGTCTGTCAAGATCCATCTGGATCCTGAGCCTATCTTCTTGGGTGTTAGCTATTCCTGCCAGCTTAGTATCATCTGCAAATTTGGTAAGTTCCCCTTCTATTTCCTCATCTAAGTCGTTAATGAAGATATTGAAGAGTCCTGGGCCTAAGACAGAACCTTGTGGCACCCCACTGCTTACTTCCCTCCATGTAGACTTAGACCCATTAAGTACTACTTGTTGAGTTCGGTTTGTCAGCCAGTTGCGAGTCCATCTTGTGGTGGTGCTATCTATTCCACTTTTTTCTAGCTTACTAAGAAGTAGGTTGTGATCTACTTTGTCAAATGCCTTGCTGAAATCTAAATATATTATGTCCACAGTAATTTGCTGGTCTACTAATTTAGTCACTGTACAAATTGTACAAGTACAACTATATAATAAAATAAACTCTTACACAAAGATATAACAGAAAACACAGAAACTTTTATGTACAAATATGCAGATTAAACAATCCCAATAACATTAAAAAAGGGGAATTCTGGGAGTGGAAGTCCACAAGTCTTAAAGCTGTCCAGTTTGAAGACCCCTGATTTAGTCACTACAGCACCTAAAAAAGTGACTGATGACCATTTTTCACAGTTCCAACCACTGCAGCATCCAGAGTGATCAAAATTCAGACACTTGGCAACGGATTCGTGTTTACAACGGTTGCAGTGTCCTGGGGTGACATGTTCACCTTTTTTGATCTTCTGACAGGCAAATATATGTGGGTACGTGCATAATTTTGTATTTATCTTGTCATGTTTATGTTTATATTAGAGGTGGAGACCCTTTCGAGAGCTGCACACAATGTAATTTCATTTTAATGTATGCCGATTAAGTGTACATTCAAAGCGACAATAAAGTTATTCTAAGTCAAATCAAATGAGGAAGCTAGATTCACTCAACAACCGTGTTACTAACTTAAAAACAGCAGGGGTTCACATAAAACGGTGGCAAGAAAAGGCATAAAATGAGGCAAAACTTATTAACTCTCTTCCTTAGCAGTGGAAATCAGCTCAATCAAGAATTACCTACGGTATATATAATGTATCTGGGGAAGCACACAGACTGTGTTTTGTTAACCCAGCTTTTGAGCGCCAAGCATTGTTGGAATGCAAGAATTATTTCTCTTCCTGTCCATCAAATAGGGAACACGGTGACTCTGCGGTCGAAAGGGTGCACAGTACCAATTAAATTAACACCTGCACCTCAAAGGGACTTCTGAAATTCCGTATGGGTCCAACCATCTGAGCTGGGCTCTTCTGACAAAGAGGGGATAAAGAAATCCTTGGCTCTCTTCCAAGCAGCAGGCCCAACAATTTCCTTGGAAGGCCATTCACAACATTACTTAAAAGATGAAGGTTGGCTGGCAGAGGTTCAAGGGCACGGCTCTTTGATAAACTAGTCTGGCTACTTGTTTTTGGAAAGGTGTTAATGAGAACGGAGAGAAGCAAGTGGGGGCTTCAAACCATTTAGAACAGGGGTGTCCAACCTTGGCAACTTTAAGACTTGTGGACTTCTACTCCCAGAATTCCTCAGCCAGCAAAGCTGGCTGAGGAATTCTGAAAGTTGAAGTCCACAAGTCTTAAAGTTGTCAAGGTTGGATACCCCTGGCTTAGAACATCACACCATCAGTTCCCAGATTCAAATTTTGCATTTCTCCCCCACTTCTGCATATTACAAAGG